TGCTGCTAATTTTGGTGTCGCCTGCAAACTTAGTAATCACACCTCCTAAGTTCACATCAAAATTATTTGAGTGACAAAAAGCAGTGGACCTAGCACCAACCCTTGTGGTATACCACTGGCCACAGGTCTGAAAAGCAAGCCTCCACCACCCTCTGTCTCCTACCTTTTGAGCCAGTTCTGTATCCAGTTGGCTAGTTCTCCCTGTATTCCATATGATCTAACCTTGTTAACTAGTCTACAGTGCAGGACCTTGTCAAATGCCTTACTGAAGTCCATGTAGATCACGTACACCGTTTTGCCTTCGTCAATCCTTTTTGTTATTTTTTTCAAAACGGTCAATCAAGTTAATGAGGCATGATTTTCCCACTCTCAAAGCCATGTTGACTATCCCTAATAAGTCCTTGCCTTTCAAAATACATGCAAATCTTCTATGATTGACTTAAAAAGTGACATTTTCAGACATAAGGTTCACTTTTTTTTGTCAGTTAAGTCTTGTTTCTATGGATAAAGCAGTAGCCCTTCACTAGAGTTGCATGCATGGTTTTAGTTCCCACCATCAAGAAAAGTTAATTGTCCTCCAGCCACATTATTATCAGCAGAACCTCTTCAAAGTACCACAACAGGTTTTTCCCCTTCTCCTTACCAATTCACATTTGAGAATGCCATCGAGGTCCCAACTGCACTGATCTTTGTGGCTTTTGTTCTTTTAAAAACAACTCTTAAAACAAAAATTAATTTATAAGCTCCAGTCTATGAATTCCTTGGGGCATGGGCTGTTCGAACTGTTTTATTGACTTATTTCTTTCCCTCTATCACAGAGGTTCTGACTGATGTTAGGCAAGCTTGCAGATAAAATCAAAAGGGACCTAAATCTCCTAAACCTGTTACTAAACTTGAATTTTCAATATGAGACTTAATCTTTTCTCCTACCACAACTTTATCTCCTAGGTTCTTTTATGGTGATGTTTATCTCAGACTCATCCCCTCAGAAACTATCAAAATCCATCTTGCAGACAGGTCTGTCTGTCATCAGTTTTTAAACTCTCCATATTTGTTAGTTTTCCATCAGATACACTGTTGAGTTGCCAGACTGGAACTGAAATTTTGAACTGTACATGCAGCAGGATTGGCAACAAAGGTCAAGAAAATGCTCCACGGCGTTACCATGGCTTACTGCCAGCCAAGAGGTAAAGCCTCCACAGTCCCAGAAGATTGTTAGGAGTTTAGTCTGTGGCATAACGACCTTCAGATTATGTTGAGAAGGCGGGACCTTCGGTGACCTCAGACAGTGCTTTTCGAGCTAGCCTGTCTGATATTATGGGTGCAGTGAACTTACAGCTTGATCTGCAAAATTGAGTTTATCTGCACATATTTTGCAACTTCTTCAAACAATGAATGTAGCTGGCTTTTTGGAAGAACTAAATTATTGAACATCATGACTCAAAGGCTTATGAATTCTAATTTAACAATGATTTTATTTAAATCTACTGAAGCGTGTGATCTGACAGTGTTGTGTTCCAAAAGTTGGCAATATTAGAATAACTTGTCTGTTAAGTCAGTCTGACCCTCAACATGTATGAAGGTTTGAGGCAAGAAGAGATTTTGAAAATCAGGTGGTTGTATGCAAGAACAATAGATTTAAAGTGTTTTTTTTTGAGAAGTGTGGTGATGGCAGATTTAACAGAGAGAAGGATCGTACTTGAAGAGATGTGTTGACAGTATCAGGGAATATGAGAGTTAGGAGGGGATGTTGGGTGGTCAACAGTTCAGTAGGAATAGGACTGAGGAAGCAGGAGTCATAGAGTCATGGTCATACAGTGCAGAAAAGATCCTTTGGCTTATTGGGTCTGGACTGACATAACTACTGCTAAACTGCTAATCCCGATTTTCTGCAATTGTCCCATATCCTTGAATGTTATGATATTTGTATGAGCACTTAATTTTTATTTTTAAAGGTTGTAAGGTTTCTGGCCTTCGCTACCTTCCCAGGCATTCCAGGTTCCCACTATCCTCTGAGTGAATAACATTTTATTCTCTCAAATCCTCTTTGAATCTCCTCCTGTCTCTTAGCCTAAAACTGTGCCCCCCCCCCCACAATGACTGACCCCACAACCAAGGGGAACAGCTGTTCTCTATTCATCCTGTCCATACTACTCTATCTTGTGTACCTCAATCATATACCCCCTTCAGTCTTTGCTGTTCTAAAGAAAACAATCCGAGCCAATCAAGTATGTCCTTTGTAGTTCAATTTTTCCATCCCAGGCAACATCCTGATGAAATTGCTCTGTATCCCGTCTAGTGCTGTCTCATCCTTCCTGTGGTGACATGACCAGAATTGCACGCACAACTCCAGCTGTGGTCTAACAAATGCTCTGTACAACTTCAACATTATTTCCTTGCTCTTGTACTCTATGCTATGACTGATGAAAGCAAGTGTCCCATATGCTGCCTTAACTATGCTATTCATGTGCACTGCTGACTTCAGGAAACTGGATAATCACCCCAAGATCTCTCTATTCTGCTAAGCCACCCTGTTTCCTGCCTTTCATTACATACTCCCTCATCTTATTTCTTCCAAAGTATATCACTTTGCACTTATCAGGGCTTGATACCATCTGCCCATCTGACCAAGCTATTTGTCTTCCTGCAATTTTCAACCATCTTCACTATAAACCCACTACCAATCTTGGTGTCATCTGCAAACTTGGTTATCATTCTCCCACATTTTCATCTCTATTATTAATGTATATAACAAACAGTAGGGGCCCGGTACTGATCCTTGTGGTACGCTGCTGGACACTGGCCTCCAGTCACTCAGACAGCCTTCTATCATTACCATTTGTGTCCTATGACTGTGCCAGTTTCTGTTTTTTTGTTTTTGTAAAATTCACTTGTGGAATGGGAGCATCACTGGCTTGGCAGCATTTATTACCTGTCCCTAGTTGTCCTTGAGTAGGTGATGGTGAGCTGTCTTCTTGAACTGCTGCAGTCCACCTGTTGTGGATTGACCCACATTGCCATTAGGGAGGGAATTCCAGGATTTTTACCCAGCGACAGTGAAGGAATGGCCATTATATTTCCAAGTCAGGATGGTGAGCGGTTTGGAGAGGAACTCTAGGGTGGTGGTGTTCCCAAGTATCTGCTGCTCTTGTCCTTCTACATGGAAGTGGTCTTGGGTTTGGAAAGTGCTGTCTGAGAATCTTTGAATTTCTGCAGTGCATCTTGTAGGTAGTAGTACACCAGTGCTGCTACTGAGTGTCAGCGGTGGAAGGAGTGCATGCTTGTTGATGTAGTGCCAATCAAGCGGGCTGCTTTGTCCTGCATGGTGTTGAGCTTCGTGAAAGTTGTTGGAGCTGCACCCATCCATGCAAGTGGGAACTCCTCTATCACACTCTTGACTTGGTGCCTTCTAGATGATGGACAGGCTTTGAGGAGTCAGGAGGTAAGTTACTCACTGCAGTATTCCTAGCTTCTGACCTGCTGTTGTAGCCACTGTATTTATGTGCTGAGTCCAGTTGAGTTTCTGGTCAATGATAACCCCGAGGATGTTGATAATTGGGGATTCAGTGATGGTAACAGTGTTAAGTGGTGGTTAGATTGTCTGTTATTGGTGATGGTGTGGTGCAAATGTTACTTGCCACTTGTCAGCCTAAGCCTGGATATTGTCTAGATCTTGTTGCATTTGAATGTGAACTGGTTTAATATGAGGAGTCACAAATGCTGCTGAATATTGTGCAATCATTGGTAAACAGCTTGTGAGACAGGTGTCCCATTTTTTGTTTGTTTTTTTTTTTTTGGTACCGGTCCCCAGATGTTAGTAAGGAGAACTTTTGTGGGGTCAACGGGGCTATTTATGCTGTTGTCTTCTCCAGCGCCAGGTGACCCATCCAACTTCACTTCTTTGAGATGTTGTAGCAATTGGTACAACTGAATGGCTTGCTTGGCCATTTCAGAGGACAGTTGAGAGTCAACCGCAATGCTGTCGATCTGGAGTCACATGTAGGCCAAACCACATGAGGATGGCAGATTTCCTTTCCTGAAGGGCATTAGTGAACCAGATGGATTTTTATGACCATCAAGAATGGTTTCATGGTCATCAATTGATTCTTAATTTCAGAGTTTATTTTATTGAATTCAGATTACACCATCTGCCATGGTGGGTTTTGAAACTAGGTTCCCAGAACATCAGCTGAGTTTCTGGATTGATTAGTGTAATGATTATACAACTAGGCCAAAGCATTCCTCCTCCTCCTCCTCCTCCTCACCCCCTTCTGATCCATCTTGCCAAGATTCCCTGAATTCCTATGTGCTCTAACCTTCTCAATCAGTCTCCAATGAGGTACCTTGTCAAAACCTTTTGCTAAAATCCATATAAACTACATTGACTAAACTTCCCTCATTCAGCCACTTGTTACAATTTTTCAAAAATGTGATCAAATTTGTCAGGCATTATCTCCCTCTGACAGCCATGCTGCCTGTCCCTAATTAACCCATGCATTTCCAAGCAGAGATTAATTCTCTCCTTCAGAATTTTCTCGATTAATTTCTCTATTGGAGAAAATTGACACATGGAAATGTGATTTTTGCCATCACAGAAACATGGTTGAGGAAAGGGCTAGACTGGCAACTTACTGATCCTATAACTCAGAACATTGGGAGAGAAGAGGGTGTAAAAAGGGTGGTGGTGTAACACTATCAATTAAGGAGTCAATTACAGCAATAAGGAGAGATGATATCTTGGAAGGGCCTTCAAAAGGAGGCTTTGTGGGTAGAATTTCAGAATGTTAAGGGGCAGTCACATTCCCAGGCATGCATTCTAGGTCCCCAAAGTATTAGCAGAAAATAGAGGGGCAAATATATAGACAGTTCACGGACATGTAAAAGAGTGAAAATCTGGTAATTATGCTTTGGAATTGCAACTTTTCCACACAAATTGGGATTGTTGTCATGCTAAGGGTTTAAGAGCAGGGCGGATTTCTTGAAATATATCCGGGGAGAGCATGGATCTCGGTGAGGATGTCGGGGGAGATCGAGAGGAAGATGAGAGTTCAGGATTAGGGTAGGGGGAGTTTGAGTAGATCAGTATCTCTGGCCACTCTAATGGAAAGCAATTGACCTAGAACATTGAAATTTTATATAGCCATGGAAATGAACCCTCTCAAGGAAAACAGATTCGACCTGTCTACTGTATCTCAACCCTTCACAATTTTGAATACCTCAATCATGTTGTCCCTTAGCCTTCTCCATTCCAAGGAAAACCTCTCCTTGGTAGCTGTAATTCTCCAGTCCTGGCAATATTGTAGAAAATCTTCTCTGTGCGCCCTCTTCTGCCCGAGTAATTATGTCCTTCTGTAATGTGGTGACTGGAACTGCGCACACTACTCCAGTTGTGCCCTCACCAGTGTCTTGTACAGTTCCATCATTATATCCCTACTTTTTGTATTCTATATTTCTGCCAATGAAGGAGAGCAATCTATTTGCTGCCTTTGCCACCTTATCTAACTGTACTGCTACCTTAAGGGACCTGTGCACTTGCACACCAAGATCTCTCACTTCATCTATCCCTCTCAGTATTATTTTATTGTGTATTCCCTTTTACTGTTTGATTTCCCTAAATACAGTGCCTCACGCTTATCAGAGTTGAACTCCATCTGCCACTTTCCTGCCCACTCTGCCAACCCGTCTATATAATTTTGGAGCTTCCAGCTATTCTCTAAACAGCCAATTTTTGTGTCATCTGCACGTTTCCCAATTGTGCCCCCCCATGTTCAAGTCCAAATTGGTAATTTACAAAACCGACAGCAGAGGTCCCACCACTAAGCCCTGTGGATAACCACTTGAAACAGCTTTCCATTTGCAAGGGCAACCATTGACCATTACTTGTTTCATTTTACTAAGCCAACTTTGGATCCAATTCAACACATTATCCTGTATCCCATGGGCTTTTACTACTTTGACCATGTGGGATCCATGTGAGCTGTACAGTTAGTTTTTGTCTGGTGTTTATATGGGTACATGAACACCAACTTGCCACCAAAAGACATGACCAATTCTCACTGGTCTCACTACACGCGGACAACGAGGGACACAAATTCAACTAGGACAACACATCCCTAATCATACAAGCCAAACACAGACACGTGAGGGAATTCCTAGATACCTGGTATTCCAACCAGAACTCCAAGAGACACATTGAATTAGACCTTGGACCCTGTGTACAAACCACTGAGAAACAAAACTGGAAGTAATGCTAATCACCCCAGCATCTGAGGCATATAAATAACAAGCGGGACAGAACCCCGACACTTCTTCAGAGGTGCACTGACCATCTGACCTAGCAAGATGATGAAACGTTTGCAACCAAACCCATCAGCTTGGCGAGCATGTCTACAACCTCATCCACAACCTGAGCTACAAATTTTTTTCAAAATTTAAATAAGACTAATTGGCATTTAATTCGTACCTTTTCTAATCTTCAAGCACCTTATCTGTGTCTTGTGAAGATTGAAAAATAATCTTTAGAGCAAGAAAGCTGACGTTTCGGGTTGGGACCCTTCTTCACACCCTTTTTACTGAAGAAGGGTCCTGAACCGAAACGTCAGTTTTCCTGCTCCTCTGATGCTGCTGGCCTGTTGTATTCCTCCAGCTCCACACTGTTATCTCAGACTTCAGCATCGGCAGTTCATACTATCTCTGAATCTTTAGAGCATCTGCTTTTGCCTCCCTGACCACCTCCAACATTCTAAGGAAAGATTCATCTGACCCTGGCGACTTACATGCTTTCAAAGATTCCAAATCCTCGAACATTTCCTCTCAATATGATTATTTTGTCCAATATTTCACACTGCTCCTCTGGGGTTACTATAACCACATCCATCCCTTTCCTTTGTGAATGCAGAGATAAAGAAATTATTTAAAATTCTTCTTGTATCCTCTGCATCCACACAAGTTCCCTTCTTCATCTCTGATAGGTCCCACTTTTTCCTTCACTATTCTTTTGCTCTTTATATACTGGTAACACATCATTGGCATTTCCTTTATTTTCTTTGCTAATATTTTTTCATGCCTTATCTGTGATTTTGCTTTGTTATTTTTAACATGGTCCCTGTACTTTCTCTATACTCTTCTGGGCTATCTGTAGTGTGGAGTGTTTTTTTTTGTGACCATTTTAAGCTTTCTTTTTTCTGTTTATTCTCCCACGTGGTTTTTCTAGACAACCATGGGGGTCTAGACTTTGCATTACCATTCTTATTTTTGGAAGGGGCATGTCTGCTTTGTGCCCTAAGGATCTCACTTTAGTGTTTGCCACTGGTTTACCATTGATTTATCCTTTAACAGTCCTGTCCAGTCCACCTCAGCCAAATCACTTAGTTTTGTAAAATTTGCCTTCTCCAGTTTACATCTGATTTGTCTCTTGTCCTTTTTCCACTGTATTGCTAAATCTAACCAAACTCTGGTCACTATCCCCAATACGGACGCCAACTGGCACTTTACCACTTGCCTATCTTCATTTCCCAAAACTACATCCAGAATTGAAACTTCTCTATGGGCTTGTCATGTATTTTTTTTAAACAAAAATTCTGGATACCGGACACGAATTATCCTTCGTGCCTTGTTGTTGTTGTTGTTGTTGTTACCCACTTGATATTGGGACAAAGTCTCCTACTATTATTGCCATCTTATTCCGACAGGCAGAAATTTGTCTAATTGTGGGTTTTTCCATCTCCCTTCTCACTACTGAGGAGTACATAGTATCTTGGTAGTATAACTGCCCCTTTTTTAATTTCTAAGCTCAACCCATAAAACCTCATTTGTTAACCCATTCAATATATCATTCCTTCTCAACTGTGTGATTCTTTAACAAGTATGCTAACCCCTCCTTTTTTGTCACCCACTCGATCCTGCCTGAAAATTCTACATCCAGGGGTATTGACATGTTAACTTTGCCCCTCCTTTTAAACAGGTTTCTGTTATAGAAACTACGTCGTGCTGCTGTTTTTCTGTTTATGCCCTTAGTTCATCAGCCTTGTTTGTGATACATGCAAAGCATTGAAGTATGAACAGCTGAACCCTGAGTATTTCTTTTGGATGCTTTTTAATCCTTGTTGCTTTTGGTTTCTGAGTCGCTGAAGAAATAACAAATGTTCTACCTCCCATTTCCTGATCTGAATCTAACCCATCTAAGCTTACTCTTTTTGGTTTTCATTCCCCTACAATTGTAGTTTAAAACCTCTCCAATGGAACAAGCAGAAAACCTGAAACATTATTACTCTTTACATAATTATAATTTATCTCAGTTTTGGACTTGTATAACTAATGCACAAAATTTTATGCTGCTGCTCTGTTTACATACGGTATGGGTGAGTAATATCTTCCTGACCTGTATTAAAATATGGAATTCCATAAGTAATGAATTTCAGAGACTGAACAGTTTCTAAAGCAATACTTTGAATATTTTATATAGATTGCGATGATTGAACTTTGGTTAGATCATATTTCAAATACTGCTTGTAATCCTGGTCTTTGTGTTTTTAAAGAAAATGATATGCAGTGGGGTGGGTATGGGGAAAATTTGCAAGCATGAAACAAAGTATGTGAACGTACATATTAGGATAGAACGGAGAGGCTGGGGTTTTGCTGTCTCTGTGGGAGTGCAGGATGGGAATAAGAGTGACTATATTGGACCTATTACTCTTGGAATCATTAAACAGACACACTTACGGGGAAACTAGATGATGGAGAAGCAGATGATTGATGGATTTAAATGAGAGCAGATTGGAGATTTAAGCAGAGTATAAATATCAGAAGGACTGGGCTGAGTGGCCTGTTTCTGTCATCTATTATCTGTATTAATCAATGATGAAAACGTTTTTGTGCTGAATATTAAATTATTCCTTTAAGTTTTTTCTTTTGCTGCAGTCAGGATATTCTGCTTTATGGAAAAGTGATGTTGCATATAGGTAACTTGGTTGTTTTGTTTTTTTTTAAGGCCCCAGCTTACCATCTAATTCTGGAAGGTATCCTCATTTTGTGGATAGTAAGACTACTTTTCTCCAAAACCTACAAACTTCAGGAGCGTTCTGACCTGACAGAAAAGGTAATTAGTAGATTTTAAAAGATCTATTGCACTTTGATATTGCAACTTCTCGTAAGTATTCTGTTATGTTTTCTCACAGGAGAAAGAAGAACTTATTGAGGAATGGCAACCCGAGCCACTTGTTCCGCCAATATCAAAAGACCACCCTGCCCTTAACAACAATATTGTCTCAGGGTATGTAATATACTCTGGGACTAGGTGACTATATTAGCTTGCAATTGTGCTTGCGCTGTACAATATTCAAAAAGAGAACTGTTTCAAATTGTCTTTATTTTTAAACCATTACACGTATCAATGGAAACTTTGTTTTAATGCAACAGGTTCAAAGTCTTTTTTTGTTAATGGCTTGCGAACAAAAGGCATTACATAGGGTTTGTCATTAAGACTTGTCCAGTTTCTTTGGTTCAGCACAATGCTGTCAGTGATTTTAGCTGATCTCTGCCAGATTGCATTAGAAGTGGTGGCTTTAGCCCATTGGACTGGGGAGTCCTCTGGAACTTAGTAAGCTTGTTGAAACTTGTTGCCTCAGAATTCTCTAAGACCTTCTGTAACTTGATTTGACTGTAATTCCACCAACAGTCATGAGTTGAGTGAAGCACTTGGGGGCAACTTGTGCCTGTAGAACATCGCCCCAGTTTGGATGAGTGCCTTCAAGAAAACTTGAAGAAAATTGTAAACAAAAACCCGAAGAAAATCATGCTGAAAATATTCCTCTCCAGTTTATGGAACTGGTTCCATGTTATGAGACTTTCACTGTGTTTTATACTTGATCACCTGTAATGTTTGTTATTAACTAATTTGCACTGAAAATGACTGAAGAGGTTTGCACTTTCTGAGCTTTGTGTGTTTCACTGAATTGTTTCTTTTGTTATTTTCAGCCCTCCAACTCACAACATAGTGGTTAATGATAGAAGGTGCATAAATTTTGCGTCCTTCAATTTTCTCGGGTTGCTAGATAATGAAAAAGTTAAGGTGAGTTTATTGACCTAAGGAAAACGAGTCTTAGAACAAACTTGTGGATTATGAAAGGGGAAGATCTTTGTAATCAGTAAGTGCCAGTATCAAAATGGGTTCCCATTGAATGCAAGTGGAGAATGGAATATGAATGTGGTCATTGAATTTTAATACATTTTTAAATAAGATGTCTGGGTAGGTGATTACATAATATTTCTTCATTTGCAATTTTCTGGTAAGTTGTTTTTGTTTTAAAACTGAAATTATTTGAATATAGATAAGTAAGCATTAAATTCTAATTTACTTTGAAGTTTTTTGACGAATGCAATTTTGTTCATACAGAATGTGGCTTTGGCTTCACTGAAAAAATATGGTGTTGGTACATGTGGACCTAGAGGGTTTTATGGAACATTTGGTAAGTTTAAATTGTTTTGAAATGTACTTAAATTGTATGTCTGAGATTATAACTGCATGTTATCTTTTTGGCAAATCTATTTGTAAGCTCTTTTAGCACCAATCTTGCTCCAAAATTAATTCACAGATCAAAGTAATGCTGAATGATATGGCAAACCTAGCATAAGCGGTACACAGACCTCTCTTGAAAAGGGATTTTTGTGGTCCCTAGTGAAAACATAGACAAGGGTACATTTCCAAATGAGAGTGTAGTACTGATTAGGATCACTTTCCTCTTGCTTTTTCATCTGGCAATGCATTTGTTTTGCCCTCGTATTGACCCTTCTTAACTTGGTCATAGTTATGGAGTCATACAGCACAGAAAAGGCCAATCAAGTCTACACTGACAATAACTACCTATAAAAGCATGCTAATCCCAATTTCCTACACTTGCCCCATATCGTTAAATGTTATGATATTTGAAGTGCTCATCTAATATTTTTAAAGGTTATAAGGTTTACTGAGGGAAGCGAGAGAGGAAATAGCTGGGGCCCTAACACCTATCTTTGCAGCATCCTTGAGCATGGGTGAGGTCCCGGAGGACTGGAGAATTGCTAATGTTGTCCCCTTGTTTAAGAAGGGTAGCAAGGATAATCAACGTAATTATAGACCGGTGAACCTGACGTCAGTGGTGGAGAAGCTGCTGGAGAAGATGCTGAGGGATAGGATCTGTTCCCATTTGGAAGAAAATGGGCTTCTTAGTGATAGGCAGCATGGTTTTGTGCAGGGAAGGTCATGTCTTACCAACCTGATAGAATTCTTTGAGGAAGTGACAAAGTTGATAGATGAGGGAAGGGCTGTGGATGGTCATGTACATGGACTTCAGTAAGGCATTTGATAAGGTTCCCCATGGTAGGCTGATGGAGAAAGTGAAGTCGCATGGGGTCTAGGGTGTACTAGCTAGATGGACAGAGAACTGGCTGGGCAACAGGAGACAGAGACTTGTAGTGGAAGGGAGTTTCTCAAAATGGAGAACTGTGACCAGTGGTGTTCCACCGGGATCCGTGTTGGGACCGCTGTTTGTTTGTGATATACATAAATGATCTGGAGGAAGGTATAGATGGTCTGATGAGCAAGTTTGCAGATGACACGAAGATTGGTGGAGTAGCAGATAGTGAAGGGGACTGTCGGAGAATGCAGCAGAATATAGATAGATTGGAGAGTTGGGCAGAGAAGTGGCAGGTGGAGTTCAATCCAGGCAAATGCGAGGTGATGCATTTTGGAAGATCCAATTCAAGAGCGAACTACACGGTAATTGGAAAAGCCCTGGGGGAAAATTGCCGCACAGAGATCTGGGTGTTCAGGTCCATTGTACCCTGAAGGTGGCAACGCAGGTCAATAGAGTGGTCAAGAAGGCATACGGCACGCTTTCATTCATCGGCCGGGGTATTGAGTACAAGAGTTGGCAGGTCATGTTGCAGTTGTATAGGACTTTGGTTCGACCACATTTGGAATACAGTGTACAGTTCTAGTCGCCACACTACCAAAAGGATGTGGATGCTTTGGAGAGGGTGCAGAGGAGGTTTACCAGGATGTTGCCTGGTATGGAGGGCGCTAGCTATGAAGAGAGATTGAGTAGATTAGGATTATTTACATTAGAAAGGCGGAGGTTGAGGGGGGACCTGATTGAGGTCTACAAAATCATGAGAGGTATAGACAGGGTGGATAGCAAGAAGCTTTTTCCCAGAGTGGGGGACTGACTTATTAGGGGTCACAATTTCAAGGTGAGAGGGGAAAAGTTTAAGGGAGATATGTGTGGAAAGTTCTTTACGCAGAGGGTGGTGGGTGCCTGGAGGCATTGCCGGCGGAGGTGGTAGAGGCAGGCACGATAGCATCATTTAAGACGTATCTAGACAGATGCATGAATGGGCAGGGAGCAGAGGGATACAGATCCTTGGAAAATAGGCGATAGCTTTAGATAGAGGATCTGGATCAGCGCAGACTTGGAGGGCCAAAGGGCCTGTTTCTGTGCTGTAATTTTCTTTGTTTCTGGCCTCCGCTATCTTCCCAGGCAGGTGCATTCCAGATTCTCACCACCCTCTTAGTGAATAACTTTCTTTTCCTCAAATCTTCTCTGAATCTCCTGTCCCTCTCTCTAAAACAAAGTATCCCCATGACTGACCCCTTAACTAAGGGGAACAGCTGCTCACTACTCACCCTATCCATACCACTCCTATTCTTTTATACTTCAATCACATACCCCCTCAGCCTTCTCTGCTGCAAAGAAAATAATTCATGCTTACCTAGTCTCCTAGCTTAATATCTTCAACCGGGGCAACATCCTGGTGAACTCCCTCTGTACCCCCTCCTACTATTATCACATCTGTCCTCTAGTGAGGTGATCAGAACTGCACACAGTACTCCAGCTGTGGACTGTCTGACACTGTACAACTCCAGCAATACCTCCTGGCTCTTATACTCCATGCTGTGACTGACGAAAGCAAGTGTGTCATTCTTTCTTGACTATTGTACTCGCTTGCTCTGCTGACGTCAGGGATCTGTGAATAATTAGCCCCAAGATTCCTCTGAGCTACCCTATCCTGCCATTCGTTTATTACTCCCACATCTTATTTCTTGCACTTATCATGGTTAAATATCATATACCACTGCCTACTCATCTGTATCTTCCTGCAACCTACAACCATCTTCACTATTAACCACCCTACCAATCTTGGTGTCATCTGCAAACTTGCGTAATATTTCCCCGCGCCCCCCCGCCCCCCCAACATTTTCATGTATATAACAAACAGTAAGGGTCCTAGTAGTGATCTTTGTGGTACACCACTCGACACTGGCCTCCAGTCACTCAAACTACCTTCTACCACTACTCTTTTTTTGACCTATTACTAAGCCAGTTTCTGATCCATCTCGCCAAATTTCCCTGAATTCCATGTGCTTTAACCTTCTCGATCAGTTTCCCATGTGGTACCTTGTCAAAAGCTTTGCTAAAACCGTAAAGCTTCATCAACTGAACTTCCCTCATCCACATACTTGTTGAATTTTATGGAAATGTGATCAAATTTGTCAGGCGTGACCTCCCTCTGACAAAGCCATGCTGACTATCCCTAATTAACCCATGTTTTTCTAAGTGAATATTAATTCTCTCCTTCAGCATTTTGTCCAATAGTTTCCCGACCACTGCCCATCAGCGCTTCCAATACCACCCAATTTCCTATGATAAACTGTGCAAGTTCCTTGGTCTATTTTCCTGAATTCCGTACCTACATTCTCCTTTTCTAGAGTGAAGGCAGAAGAGATGTGTTAATTTAACATGCTTCCAATATCCTGCGGCTTCGCATTCAGGTTGCCCCTTTGGGCCCCTGCTCTTTCCCTGGTTAACCACTTCCCTTTCATGTATTTATAAAGTATCTCTGAATTCTCCCTATTCTGATTAGCAAATCCTTGCTCATGCCCCTTTTTTCTCTTCTAATCGCTTTCTTCTGTTTCTTCCTGCACTTCTTGCACTTCTTTAAGGCCTCAGCTAAATTGCTCCCTTTGAACTTGCTAAAGCCTTTCTATTCTTCCTTATCCAGTCCTGAATTCTCCTAGATATCCAGGATTCTCTGAACCTTTTGCTGCTATATTTCCCCCGAAGAGTTTGTCGGATCAGTACTCTTCTCCAGTTCCTTTTTGAATGCTACTGTTCTGCTGTAGCCTTAACCTGCAAGGAGCTGTTCCCAGTCGACCTTGGCCAGATCTTGCTTTATTTAAAGAAAATCTGCTTTCCCCGAGTCCAAAGTTATCTTTTGCTTGCCATCTTTCTCCTTGTCCACACCAAAATGTACCATACTGTGTTAGTTTGCTATCACTAAACTTGTCTGGCTTCATTCCCCAGAATCCAATCCAGCACTGTTCCACCCTTTGGGCCTTCTGTATGTTGATACAAAAAACTCACCTGGATACCTTTCAAGAAATCTGCCCCCTCTAAAGGAAAGTTGAAATCCCCTAGTATGATTACCCAATTATTACTCTTACACATTTCTGTGAACTGACTACATATTTGCCCCTCTATTTTCTGCTTACTCTTCGCAGGCCTACAATGCTCTGCCAGGAATGTGACTGCCCACTTAACATGCTGAAGTTCTACCCACCAAAGCCTCATTTTGAAGACCCTTCCAAGATATCATCTCCTGTTGTTCCTCAAATTGACTCCTTAATTGATGGTGTTTAAACCCCCACCCTTTTTACACCCTCTCCTGCCTTGCCTAAAGATCCCAGACCTTGGAACATTGAGTTGTGATTCTTCCCTTCCCTCAACCGTGTTTCTGTGATGGCAACAATATCATACTTCCATGTGTCAATCCACACCTTTAACTCATCAGTCTTACTTGTTACACTCCTAGCACTAAAGCAAAGACCATCCAGCCTGGTGTCAGAAAGGGTCCCGGTTAGACTGACTAAAGTATGAAGTTAATTTACATAACTGTCCTTTGTTCCCAAATCTATTCACATTGTAAGGCCAAATTTAGCAACAAGAGGGCTAGGATATTTTTGAGTGGAAACGGTTCTGTAATATAAATAGGTGTTCGTCCATTCCGAGACTCTGAATTCTTATTGAATTAAAACAAATGCTGTAAGTACCCAGAAGGTAACATCTGTGGAGATAAAAACAGTTAACATGTTCAGGTTGATGACCTTTCTTCAGAACTGGAACTCCAAAGTGTATTGAAGTCTTTGGAATTTTTTAATCAAAGTATAAAATGCAGTTGCTGGAGCTTTAAGTTTCCTTGGAATACTGCAAGCAGCAGCAAAGGACAAGAAGTAAGATAACTAGCATCCTGAAGCTTGTGGTTGCGATTGCAAACTGAGTGGAAATGTTCTGTAAAGTAGTAATCCAAGCTCTCTCTGGTCTCCCATAATTTAAAGATTGTGTTGTCAGCCTCAAAACAGTATTCTAAATTGGAAAAAGTACACATTAATCATTGATTCAACTATATGGAGAGTTTTTATAGCTTTGTACTA